GGTTTACCGGGCAGTTCTATTTGACGATATATATAATATATATACACTGATGAGTCGGTGAAACTCCGATGAAACAGTTTGTCACAGCCCCTCGTTTGTTGTCCTCTTCTCTCTCTCTGCCTACGGTTTTACCGGGCAGTTCTGTTTGTGACGATATATAGTGGGTGAGTGATAGTCTACTTTGATTTTGGTTAAGGTAGATTATCATTTACAGTGTAATCAGTGAGGGGATTCTGCAGACTGTTGAGGGTTCAGCCTCCTGATGAGTCGGTGAAACTCCGACGAAACAGTTTGTCACAGCCCCTCGTTTGTTGTCTTCTTCTCTCTCTCTGCCTACGGTTTACCGGGCAGTTCTGTTTGTGACGATATATAGTGCTTAGTTGCTAACCAGAGGTTTACCGGGCAGTTCTGTTTGTGACAATGTCACGGCCCCTCGTTTGTTGTCCTTTTCTCTCTCTCTGCCTACGGTTTACCGGGCAGTTCTGTTTGTGACGATATTTATAGTCGGTGAAACTCTGACGAAACAGTTTGTCACAGCCCCTCGGTTGTTGTCCTCTTCTCTCTCTCTGCCTGCGGTTTACCGGGCAGTTCTGTTTGTGACGATATATATATATATATATATATTTGTGACGATATATATATATATATATATTCCCTTACTTTCCCAGGTTCCCTTTATCGTTCTTTGTTTGTCTGCTCTCCATCTCTCCTCCCTGTGTTTATCCCCTCCCCCTTCACTCTGCCTCTTTCTCACAGCGTACAAGTGGGCTGTTATGGCACACAGGGATGGGGGCAGCTCGCGCTCAACTTCATCAACGTGGCGAGCCTTGTATGTGAGAGGCACGGTGAAAGGGGAGTCAAAAGAAGAATGAGAAAAATGAATGGTTTCACTGTGCCCTTCATGTTGTTTCGCAAAGTGTGCTCTTTGAGTTCATAGTTATGTGACAATATATATATACACGCATTACCTTTCCGGGTAAACCTGGTGATCAGAATCTGTCATGATTTTTTTTTTTTTTTTTTTTTTTTTTTTTTTGGACCAGTTCTCGATTAACGCGTGTCATCCTTGCGCAGGGGCCATGCTAATCTTCTCTTTATCTGTATTGTTCCAATTTTAACGGATGTCACAAAGGTCCGAATCTATCATGCTAACGAGAGATGACTTTCTACTTTGTCTGGGCAACCCTGGCCCTGGTGATAAGTATATGATACTCAGTACCGTAACTTAAATGATTTTGTGTGTTTGGACTTCGTTTGGGTTTAGGGTTTTTGTCACGTTTTGACTATAGGATTGGTATATTAGTAAATAATATTACTATATTTGTTTATGAAAGAAGACTCTGTACACACTGTCATTCTTAAAATGCATGGCCTGCATGCTGATTTTTTGTCTATCATAAATAGAAGGCACACATTTCTTTGAGAGTCAGCCAAACGTCCTCTCTCTCTCTCTCTCTCTCTCTCTCAAGCAACCTGATTTGCAAACGACCTGAAGAAGAAAAATGAGCCCTGATTCGGGCAGACCATGGTGGGTGCGGGTTCTGCAGAGATGCTCCACCACCCTACTTGCGTATGTCCGAACAAGAAGAAGAGAAAGGAAAAAGGGAGTGCTCCAACGGGAGTGACTCCAGGTGTCCTGAAAGAAGCCGAATAAAAAGGCAAACACCGCTGAGACAAAACACACACAAAAAAAACAAAAAAAAACGGATTTCTGCCTGCAAAGGGTACCCTGTGCAGGCAGTTGGCGTGGCGATGTGCACAGGTGCCTGCCCCAGTCTGCATGGCCAGGCATCCACGTAGACCAGATACAAATAGCAAACGAATTTCAACTCACGTGACTGTGGGTTGGGTGGGGCGTTGGGCTTTGCAGGGACCAGCACAGTTTGGCGCAGGGAAGCGGCCGTACACGGTTGTGATGATTGTGCCAACCGGTGTCGGCGCAACTATTGGGGGTTATGCAGGGGATGCGCTGCCTGTCGCACGCACTTTGGCATCGATCGCAGATTGCCTCGTTACTCACCCCAACGTAAGTTCTCGATGTCTGTACCTGATCATGATTCTGATGTAAGGTCATGTTAGAAAAAGAAAAAGAAAAAAGGGAAAACTACGCGGGAGTCACAAGAATGAGTTATAATTGCAGTGTGGGCCAAGATACAGTTTGCAATTGCAGTTCGAGCAATGTATACAACCCAGCTTTCTGGGCAGGAAGGGTACCCTAAGTGCAATTGCAAACTGTATCTTGGTCCATAGTGCAATTATAAGTTTATAACTCGTTTTTGTGACTCCCACGTAGTTACCCCAAGAAAAAAGGAAAAAGAAAAAAAAAAAAGTGTTACTAGCCGGGCAGCCCGGGGTGCCTCAGATTGGCCCGCGTGGCCCGGCCGGGCCAGGTCCGGGCAATGTCCCGGTCAAGGTCCCAGGCAATCCCAGAGCAAAAAAAAAAAAAAAAAAAAAAAAAAAAAAAAAAAATCCACAAAAAAATGGTGTCATGCAGAATTGCAAACCAAACATCTATGGAAGCCAAAAAAAACAAACAAACAAACAAACAAACAAACAAACAAACACACTAAATTATACCATACCCCTTTAGCCCCCTTTAAGCTCCTTCGAGCCCTTTTGCAAGGAAAATGAGCAATAGCGAGATGACAGAATCCAGATTACACGATCACATTGAAAGCCAGAAAGTCTCACAGTGTCCAGAAAGCAGTATTGCACCAATGTAACACCAATTGAGAATCGAAACACTGAAACCGAATGTCAATGAGAGCTTACTCTCGTCATCACCAACATCAGAGTCCAGGCCCTTTCCCCCTACTTGGCGCTTGGCACCCAGACTACTCCCCACACAGCTACTATCTGCCTACGAATTGACAATGCAACTGTTGACGTCAGCAGCCACCGAGGTACATGAAGATGTCGCCTAATGCAGACCATCGCCAATACCAGGTATGAGCCCTCACATCATCATCATCATCTCTCTCTCTCTCTCTCTCTCTCTCTCTCTCTCTCTCTCTCTCTCTCTCTCTCTCTCTCTCTCTCTCTCTCTNCTCTCTCTCTCTCTCTCTCTCTCTCTCTCTCTCTCTCTCTCTCTCTCTCTCTCTCTCTCTCTCTCTCTCTCTCTCTCTCTCTCTCTGTGTCCCTCGTCTGTCTCCCTTGTCTTCCCTCTGTACACCCGAAGACCACCACTGCGCCTTGCTGTATGTCCAAGCCCGGCCAGCTATGGAAGCTGGGCTATGGCGCGGCCTTCTGCAGCGCCCTTCTTCACACACGACCGCAAGTGCACAGCACCTTGCCCTAGCGCTAGCAGAAGCACGCGAGTGTCCGCTCCAGCAGCGCTGCCACAAACTGGCAAGTGCCCGAATCCGCTGCCACGCAGTGAACTCTTTCCTATATGGAAAGAGTCTGGCCTGGCCTGCGGCCTGGCTGGGCTGGGCCTGCGCCAAAAGCTTCCGGTAGGCCCCAGATGGCTGGGCCTCTGCTGCAGCTGCTGGGCCTCGTTCAGTTATGCCTCCCAACTGTCTGTGTACGTTGCTGCGAATGTTGCCCAGGGCCTGCATTTCAGAAAAAGGCCCAGTAGGCCGTGGAAAGTATTTGCTGCTCGGGTCCTGGGTTCCCTTAACCAACTGACGCGACACAACTGCCTGAACCCAAATACAAAATTGACAGCATTGGGCACCTCGTGATTTGTTAGGCCCGCCTTCACTTCAGGCGGGCACACTTGCATAAGGGGCCCCTTAGGTCTGCCGAGGAGTCCTTGCACTTTCGAGTCTCAGTAACTACTAACTACATAATAAATTTAATAATAACAAGTGGACCCGCAGCAGCGCAGAAGCCAGAGAGGGAGAAGAAGGAAAGGGCACAAAGGATGGAAAGAGAGGGAGGAAAAAAGAGGCATTGACATGTGGGAACAGTTACACGCATGCACAAATAGGCGGAAAAAGAAGAACTCCCTGTTCCTCCTCCCCTCTTTCTCCCTCACATCTTCCCGCGCCATAGCCCCGCTCCCGTTCCTTCCCGGCTCCTTCTCCCACTCCTCCCGCTCTTTCTCCCGCTCCTGACACTCCTCCTCCTTGTTACATGCTGTATAGGCCCCAACCTATTTCCCTACAGGGAAACTTCCAGGCTCTTGCCTGGAAGCTTCCTTCCGACAGGGCCTACAGGCCCCAGCCTGTTTCCCTACAGGGAAACTTCCAGGCTCTTGCCTGGAAGCTTCCTTCTGACAGGGCCTACAGGCCCCAGCCTTTTTCCCTACAGGGAAACTTCCAGGCTCTTGCCTGGAAGCTTCCTTCTGACAGGGCCTACAGGCCCCAGCCTGTTTCCCTATAGGGAAACTTCCAGGCTCTTGCTTGGAAGCTTCCTTCTGACAGGGCCTACAGGCCCCAGCCTGTTTCCCTACAGGGAGCCTGGAAGCTTCCGCAGGGTCTAGGACAGGGAGGCATTGGCAAGAGCGGCCTCCTGCGCAYAGGGCATTGGCACGACCAGCCTCCTGCACGGGCCAGCACTATAAAGGACTGGCCCGCCCTACAGGAGGGAAGGCAGTCGGCAGTTGTAGTCTTCAGGATTCGGGAGCAGCCCTCTGGAGGGAGCGCTGCGTTATAGTAGTGGTAGTGTTAGCTAGTAGCCTTCGGCGCTGGGCGCCATA